TGAGTGAGTGAGTGAGTGTGTGTGAGTGAGTGAGTGAGTGTGTGTTTCTGAACCACTGGGGTTTCCGGATAAACCACTGAGTTTGTGTGTCGTCATAAAACAAACACACACACACACACACTTCAGGAGTGAAATTAGACCAAAAGAGAAAGTGAGATGAGATGGAGAGAGAGTTTGAGTGTGATTGTGCATGTAAAGCATGAAGAGATTCATCCACAACACATGAAACATAATTAATAAACTAATGAGAGACTTTGTGATGCATGCAGTGACACAAATCGAATGTTAAGGAAAATATTAATTAAATGTCTTACATATTCTTTTTATATTAATGTGGATATTTTCCATGGGCCCGGAATTGAAAAAAAAAAAATACAAAAAGAATATAGTGATTAAAAGTAAATAAAAAAATAAATAAATACAATTAAATAACTAAAACAAACAAACAAACAAACAAACTTTTCTCAGTTGTATAATATTCTGAAATGTTTTGTCTATTTATGTTTCCTGTAGCTCTATTGGTAGAAGATGGTGCCGTCTAAAATAAAAGTAAAAATAAAATTATTAATAACATAAATAAATAAAATAAGTAAACAAATTAATTAACACAAACAAACAAATACAGTTTAAACTCTTTTCAGTTGTATAATATTCTGAAATGTTTTGTCTATTTTTTGTTTTCATTTTTTATTATGTTTCCTGAATCTGTATTGAGAGCATGCCGCTATCTAAAACGAACGTAGTAAGTAAATAACTAACTAACTAAATAACTAACTAACTAAATAAATCTGTCTATTTATATTTCCTGTAGTTCTATTGGTAGAGCATGGCGCTGTCTAAAACGAAAGGTAAAAATTAATATAAATAAATAAATAAATTAAAATAAATAAATAAAATACAAATAAATAAATACATTTGACTATTTATATTTCCTGTAGTTCTATTGGTAGAGCATGGCGCTGTCTAAAACGAAAGGTAAAAATTAATATAAATAAATAAATAAATTAAAATAAATAAATAAAATACAAATAAATAAATACATTTGACTATTTATATTTCCTGTAGTTCTATTGGTAGAGCATGGCGCTGTCTAAAACGAAAGGTAAAAATTAATATAAATAAATAAATAAATTAAAATAAATAAATAAAATACAAATAAATAAATACATTTGACTATTTATATTTCCTGTAGTTCTACTGGTAGAGCATGGCGCTGTCTAAAACGAAAGGTAAAAATTCATATAAATTAATGAATAAATAAATAAATTATTTAAAATAAATAAATAAATAGATAAAATACAAATAAATAAATAAATTTGACTATTTATATTTCCTGTAGTTCTATTGGTAGAGCATGGCACTGTCTAAAACAAAAGGTAAAATGAATATAAATAAATGAATTCATTAATAACATAAATTAATTAATTAATCAATTAATTAAAATAGAAACAAATAAACAAATATGTGTATGTTAAACTCTTCTCAGGTCTACAGTATAATGTTCTGAGATGTTATTTGATGTTTCCTGTAGCTCTATTTATAGATCGTGACGCTAGCAACATCAAGCTCACGCTTCGATTCTCAAAACACGTACAGATCAAATGTACTTTAACGATTTACACTCAAGAGCATGGTAATGCATATGTGTTCAAGTACATGTAAAGGTCTGAAGGAGACATCAAGAGTAAACAGCTCACAGGAAAAACCCTTAAAAACCTGACACTTCAGACCACAAACCTCACAAAAACCACCACGACTTCAAACAAACGTCAAGATCTCACACATCAGCTTCATGAAAGATCTCTCAGAAGCTCTGAAGGAGTGTTTGAGGCCTGTAATAACCATCTCACCTCGGCCAGTTTGTACGGCACGATCAACCTCTCGCCCACCGTCACCGTCTTTCGTGTGGTCAGAGCCTCGAAAAGCATCTCCTCCTTCACCTGCACATCAAAAACACACACACCATGAGAAATAAACACATTTAGCATTAAACCACCTCATTTAGGACGCTTCTCTGGAGATTTTTGCAGCTTCAGTGACTCTGTAAAACGAATCTGTGTTTGGACAGAATGTGATTTTCAACATAAACACTTTTCACTGGGATATTTCAAGACAAACCCACCGACAGACGCCAAGATACGTTAGTCTGCCTTAGCGTGCAAGTGTTTGCCCATAAAAGCCTCGAATGCATAGAAATGTTCATTTATATCACATAAACTCATGTGTTTTACTGCTGTTTGTGTGGTAGATTAACATTCAAAACACCAAAAGTTGTCAGAAACGACTAAAACATTGTAAAAAGAAAACACAAACGAGGAATTTAAAGCCCATAAAGCAGAAAACCTTTCAGTCTTCAGGCCAAAGACTCGCTGCAGCCAGAGAAAATCAAACCTTTCGCAGTGTGTGATTAAACTGTATGGAGCTGGACGATGGAGATGAAGCCATTAAATTAAATTAAATTAAATTAAATTAAATTAAAAAAATAAAATAAATAAATAAAAATAAAACAAAATAATAAACATTAGATGGAAAACTTATTAAAAACGTAAAAGAAAAATAGAAATTGATACACTGATAAAGTACAATAAAAATTGACATGACAAACATGACAAAAACACAACAAAATTACAAAAACTTTATCATAAATTATAAATCATAATTATGGAAAATTACAGAGTGATACAGCTGAAAAAGCTGTAAAAAAAAAAGAAAGTATATATATATATAAAACTACAAAAAAAATAACAAAATTACTAAAACTTGAACAAACTAAAATGAAAGTGGAAAATACAAAAACATACATGTATGAAGTGATACAAATTATAGTTGTAAAATAAAACTTCAAAACTATATACAACTACTTAAAAAAACTAAATCTATTAAAAGTGACTAAAACACAAAAAAAATTTAATTTAATTAAAATGAAAAAGCACATAAAATTACTAAAAACAAACTAAAATGAAAACTGAAACTAAAAATACAATCTATAATAATATTATTTTTTATAAAATAGTATTAGTTGAGCTCAACCAGATGTTTTATTGAAGCAGGAGGAATCTATTCCGAGTGTCATAATGTCACACATACTCGACGTGTCCGCAAGTTCGCTTTGAGTGCGCGCGATGTCGTTTCGCGTTGCGGTGTGCACAAAATTTTTTGTAACTTTCCGCTCCGCTTCCGAAGATGCACAAGTTCAAAGCGACTCTAGCCGAACATGCACGTCTGTGCCAGCATTTGTGTGAAACAGAAGCAGTTTGATGTTAAGTTTAGTCACACACACAGATCACGTTGCGGCCGCACTCAGACATTCATGAACAAACTTTTTAGCGCTGCCCCACAGTTTTATCAACTAAATAGCTTAATCACTCAAGAGCTACATTATCTTTCTCAACAAGGAGCTGGTAGCATCATTGTTTCTAAAGGAATTAAAGCCACAGCTTTACTGTTAATAGAAAAACGCGGCAAAAAACTGTGGTAATTCATACATACAAACAATAAAAGGAATTAAATTAAATTAACTCAAAATATAAAATAAAATATAAAAAATAATGAATTAAATTAAATATATATAATATGAATTAAAACTCAAAATATATATATAAAATATATATTCGATTCATCACTCCATGTAAGTAGTAGTAGTAAGGTGGGATGCACATGTGGACTTGCACAGGTTTTGTGGTGTGCGCTCTCACCTCCAGCAGTTCAGAGATGATAGGAAGCACCTCTGGGTTGCAGATATCGATGGAGTCGTCTCTGTACGTCTTCTTCTTGTAACGGATATTTCCCAGGAGAAGAATCGCAGACAGTAAAGAAAAGATCCTGCGGAGAACAAAACATGAGTCAAATCTCACAATAAAGAGAACAAAGAGAACAAGCCAGAAAAACACATCCTCACAACCCCGCCCTCTAATGCCACGTCAGCCAATCAGATGTCAGAAAACCTGAACACATGAAGTGACTGACAGGCAGAGAGTGTGTCCTGTGTCTTTTCAGAGCAGTTTAAGTGACCGCTGTGGTTTTTTCGTGACTTCTGTGGGGTTTTTAGGCTGTAACTCACTGTTTTCTGGTGGTCGGCAGGAAGCCCACCATCTCCATGGCCAGCTGGAGTCGCTCAAAGTCATGCTTCAGATCTTCCCCTTCCACCGTGAAACAGTCCTGAGCCGAACACAACACACGGAGCGTTAATGAAGGCACAAAACACCCTCGAATCGCTCTTATTTAACCTTTAACCCTCATTTAGCCTTTCCTTGGTGTTCAACAGAAGAAATGACATGAGTGCGAGCAGAAAAAACAAACAAATAAACCTTATCTGAAATTAAATATTTATAAAAGTTGTATTATAAAATACAAAATTCATCAAGAGTATTATTTATTTTATTATTTTATTTTATAATATTGTTTATGATTATTAATAAAATGTTAATTATCATTAAATAATTATTATAATATATCACACAGGTTTGCAACGGAATAAGGGCGAGTAAATGATGACAGGATTTGTTTTTGCATGAACTTTTCCTGCAATAAAGTACAAGTAACAGGGTTAATAGACTTAACTAAAACTAAAACCATTTAAAAAACATTATTGCTACTTGAAATAAAATTTAAATATTAAAAATATATAATAAATATATTTATAACATAAAAAATATTTATAAATATATATTTAAATATTTATAAAAAATATTGTATGAATTATTATCAATTATTAACATTGTTTATGCTTATTATTTTTTTATTAAATAATTATATTATATTAAAATATATATTTAAAATAAATTATTTCAGATACTTACCAAGGCAATTTTCATTTAGTTTAACTTTAATTGAAATACAAATATATAAAAACTAAATAATCATTTTTAAAAAACTACAATTTAAAAAAGAAAAATTACACATTTAAAAAAAATATTACTAACCATGATTAAAAACACACACACTAAAACATTAAAGAAAATTATACATTTAAAAATAAAAACATTCAAAATATGAATAACACTATAATAGTATCTCAGTAATACTGGTAGGTGAGCAGTTTAATATAATGCAGTTACATAATAAGCAGAAGGATGTGCAGTAAATGAAACGTGACTCATTGAAACACAAGCACAAAGCCGCAGCTCTTTGAGGACGGTCAGAAACAGAAGTGTGCAGAGGAAGTGAGGCGGTGAGAGACACACGACTTCCTGTTGACTCTAATAATAGCCGGATTTTAGTGTTTGGATCATCTCAAATAAAACGAGCGATTCCTGACCAGTTTACAATGTTACAACGTTTCAGAATCAACCTGTGAATGTAAACCCAGTTTCTGCAACGTCTGATCTCTGATCTCACCAGCTCGGAGAACAAAACGTCTCTGGATTCATAAAACAATTAAAACAAGCAAAACTGTGCTGAGAGAGAGCAAACAAGAGCAAGCAAAAAGAATCAGTAAGGTTCATCTGGATTCTAAAAAATAATTTAAAATATTGAAATATTACAAATTAAAAAATAAATAAATAAATAAATTAAATGAATTAAATTAAAAACAAAATAATATAATATAAAATAATGCAAAAATCAAAATGAAATGTAATATAAAAAATAAAATAAAAATGTAAATGTTAAAAATTAATTAGAAAATTAAACACAATGAAACAAATGATAAACAAAATAAAAGTAAATGAAATACAACAAAATAAAACAAAACTAAATCAATGAAAATAAAACTAAATTAAAAGATAAAATAAAACACAAACCTAAACTAAATAAAATAAAATAAATTAAATTAAATTACATTTTAAATTAAATTAAATAAAAATTAAAAATTAAATTAAATTAAATTAAATTAAATTAAAACAATTAAATGCAAAGGTTTCTGTTAAAATCCAGGTCTGTGCAGACAAGCATAAATTCAAACAGATAAATATACGAAACACTTTAAAGGAAAATAAAATAATAAATCCTACATTTTACCTAAACGATGGCTTAAAGTGGAGTAAACCGAGCAGAAGTGCGGATGATTTTTATGGACTGATTGACTGAAGCTCTCCTCTCACACACTAGTTCTGCTCCAAACCCGTCTGCTTCTATGCTGACTACATAGGCAACCTCATAAGTGAGTGACTCTACAGTTTTCTGAGCAATACTTTAAAGTCTTTCGTTAAATGTAGTACTTATGATTTAGTCTTATCTTTTTAGTATTTTCGATCTACTATTACATTTTTTGTTAATATTTTGAATCAGATTTAATTCAATATCAGATATTTTGAATTGGTTCCTGTGTTTGTTTTTTGTACTTAAATTTTTTTTTAGTAAGTTAAACTAAATGAAAATGAGAAATGTTGCCTTGGAAATGAGCTGAAGTAAAATATGTTAAAAAAATATGTTAAAAATATGTTTTTATTTTATTTTATTTTATTTTATTTTTTTTATTTCTTAAATTTGTAACTTTTACATTTTTTTCCTGATAATACAGTATGTCAATGATATACCATTATAGTTGTTGTCAATATTTTGAATTGAATTTTTTCTGTTTTCACTTTAATTTTACTTAAACCTTTAGTAATTTTACTGTGTTTTTGCAATTATCATTAGTTATTTAAATATGTCTACACATTATTTATTAACATTTATTTTAGTAATATTGAAGTTTTAGTAATAATATTAAGTTTCAGTAACTATTTTAGTTTTAGTTATTTTAGTACTTCAACTTAAACGAAACAAGAAATGTTGCCTTTGCAACAAGTTGAAATAAAATATATTTTATTTCAGTTAACATTTAATTTAATTCAAATAAAGAAAAAGTTTAAGTGATTTTAATATGATAATATTATAATAATAACTATTATTATTATTGTTAATATTATTATTATTATTACTATGAACTATAATAACCCTGTTTTGGGCCAAAAGAAGTCTTGAAATGCTGTCTAGGTACGCAGCGCACTAGGTTTTGGAGCGGAGCTGTTGATTTGAGTGACTGACTGAGACTACAACATCCACGAGTGAATCAAGACGTCTCAAATCGAGTCAAACCCTCTGTCTCCATCAAGCGCTTGATTAAATGCTGCTAATTAGATTTGATGGTTTACTCAGAACAGCAGCGGCTGGAGACACACAACAGCAGAAGAAACGTGAAGAAAGCAAACGGGAGAAGCTCTACGTGAACACACACACACACAGATACTGACCAGCTCGGTCTCACAGTAATTTCCCCAGTGCTGTCTGTGGACTTTCTTTGTTATCTGGAAGGCAGACAGACAGTTAAGAGCTGCAGACATGCTTATCTGTCTCTCTCTCTCTCACTCACTCACACACACACACACACACACACACACACACACACACTCACATCACTAATTGATGGATGTCTAAAATATAAAAATAAGGAGAAGCCTAAAACAGGCCCGAGGCCCGGCCCGCGTCTGAACTATGGCGTGAAAATTGGCCCGAAGCCCGGCCCTATGGCCGTAAAAAAGCCGGGGCCCATCGGGTCCGGGCTGAAATGCAGGGCTCTAGTTCCTGGTTCTGTTGACACATGTTGACTCACGTGAGCCACCTGCTGGTGCGTGCGCAAATAACACCTGCCTACAATTATTCTCCTCAAACGGGATGAATTAATTACGATGCTTCATGCTGGGAAAAACTTTTTCATGTCTGAAAATTTCACAGTTATTTTGTTTTCAAAGAGGATAAAGGAATTAACATAGTTGTACAGCGTAAGCTATGCATGAAGACTCTTGCTTTAACAAAGGCTACTCAACCAACTTGAACATTTGCAGGTATGAGACCGACTAGCATGGAAATCATCATGTTAGCTAAAATTTTGTGTTTGTTAGTGCTTTAAAATTCCATGGTGTGCTATTGTAAAATCGCAGTATTTATATAAATAAATACATTTGTATAAATAAATATGTTATTATATATGTGTGTGTGTGTGTGTGTGTGTATAATATGAAAAAGCTCAATGGTATAATGTCCAAAAATGTAGAAATTAAGACATAAATACTAGCATTGTAATTTTACTGTTGTAATGTAAACTAAAATTATTTGTTATATATATATTTTTTATTGAATACTCAATTTTTGGCCCGAAGTATTCAATAAATATTTTTTATTGAATACTCAGATTACATTACTTTTATATTGTGGTACTTGGATTACGTTACTGAATACTTTTATTCCAGATTTTCAAATAGTTGTATCTCAGCCAAATATTGTCCTATCCTAACAAACCATACATCAATTGAAAGCTTATTTATCAGATTTGAGATGATGTATAAATCTCAATTTAAAAAAATTTACCCTTATGCCTGGTTTTGTGCTCCAGGGTCACAAATAATTTACTATTGAGTATATAATTGACATAAGTGACTATAAAGCAGTCATTTATGATGCTGTGTTCACAGGTAGACAGCAAACAGGACAGCTGACTAAACAGAAAAAGCACATCTCACCCTCTCACAGTCCCGCTCTCCTGATAGTTGACTTGAATAAACTTGCCAAAGCGGCTGGAATTATTGTTATGGGCCGTTTTGGCATTTCCAAAAGCCTGAGGAGAAAAAACAAAGAAACATAAACACATTAACACTATAGTGTAGAAAAAAACATGTACTGTAAATATTTTTCATGCCTCATCTGGAGGCATGTAGACCATGTACAGATGGTTTACGCCTCATAACTTCAGACCAGAATGTGACGAAGGACTAACAGACACTTTCAGTCACACATCTCTGATTCCTTAACCCTCTGCTATTATTCATTTGGGAGTCACACTTGTGTTGTTCATGGTTAAAACTGACCAGAGGCCATAATCATGCAATAATTTAGAGTATATATACACCCCAGTTGATTGATTACATTAAGAAATGCAAATTTGTTTCTGAAATGTTGTTTAAATACATAAATAAGGCATAATCCATTTAAATATGCAGTAATTCGCACACATTTCCAGAACATATATCTGAACGTTGGGTTAAGCCAGGCTCAAAATATTTGTTTGATTTTGTTGACATATTAGAGTTAAAGGTTTTTACAGAGGGAGCTCAGGAGCTCCGCTGGGAGGCGTCAGGAGATCACCCGGATAACAGCCTGCGATTCAGTGCTGGACTGGGACAGCAGCCCAAGGAAAAACACACTTTACTGTATTATTTATGGACAATGGTACAGCACGGTATACTTTGAAGTACCTTAGAATACCATTTAGATTGCATGATGCATGAAATCATGAGTCCTACAGTTTCCTAATTTTTTTTGTTAATTAAAATTATTTTTAAAATATGAATGCATATTTAAAAGGTATTTAAATAAAATTTTTGATATGTATTTGAATTTTTTTTTTTCAAAATATAATTTATACAAGTTAAAAAATGTAAAATACCACTAAATTAACTAAATGCTTAAAAAATATACACAAAAATAAAAAATACAATTATATTTTAAATACAGTTTTAAAACTGCTAAATTATATTATCATTATATTATATAAAAAAAATATTGTAATAAAAATATTTAAATAATTTTTAAAATATCTCAAATGTAATAGTTGTAAAATAAATAATTTAAATAATATTTTAAAAATATTGAAATATTTACAATTATACAAAATATACAATTTACACATTAAAATATTCAAAATATCACTTTTCGTCTTTCCTTCTGTAATCCACAAACACACACTAACACAGTCTCACAAACACACTGAAAGCCAAGCATATCACGTTCTGTTAAACTAAAACTGTCTTTCATTTTTTCAGCAATGCTATAGAGATGTTTATTCTGTCATTTGTAATACTCAAACACTTTGTATCCCGAGGCAGTGCAACTAAAGCTAATCACATTAGCTGCCTAATTAAACAATAATAGCGCAGTACTGAAGATCCTGTAGAGAGGTTCCCAGCCCGCGCCTGCGGACACAAACGCAGAGGATCAGTGTCGCTCTAAAAGCCCTCACAGATCAGTCAGCTGCAGACCTTCAGAAAGATCCGGGATCAGACGACCGTCACAAGACAGGCCTCAGATCAGCGCAAGACACGTGTACAAAACATAACGTAGAATAAAAAAAACTCTAATGCGAGAGTCAGTCAAATTAAATGGCAATTATGGACATTAAACTAACTAACTAACTAACTATAATAAATATCAACCATCATATCATATATAAAATATATAAAAATATTTAAATAAAATGTTACATTTTAAATACATAATAACTGGAATAATACATTCCTTAAAATTTTACACATTTAAATAAAAAAAATAATAATAATATAACAAAATACAAACAAAATTAAAATAAAATAAATTATAATAGAAATTAAAAATAAATAAACTAAGTAGAAAAGTACTGTTCACAGTTCATCATGGCACAATATTCTAAAGAAAAAAGGATAGTAAATGGGAGCCAAATTGAACATAAACACAATGTAAATGTAACGCTTTAAATGTGTTAAAACGTTTTAAATGTGTGCTTGCTTTAGCGCTGTAGATTCGGACATGTTTTTAAATGCACAGCGGTCGTGATGGATGTCACTGCACACTTCAGATATGGGTCAACACTAGGTGTAATCACACACACACACACACACACCTAATATGCAAATACACACACAAAGGCTTAGCATTAAAATGCCTTGAGCTAAAACTGACATTAACTACATCATCAAGCCTTACAATTACACAAAGGTCAGTCAATTCTGTATACAAAAAAAACAAAAAAACTTGAAATATGAAACTGTATTTATTTTGCAACCAAATTTACTAATGCAATATCAGACACCTTCACATACCAATAGTATGCATGGCCATCTTCATGTCAATACAATACAATACAATACAATACAATACAATACAATATAATATAATATAATATAATCACTAAACATTAATTAAAATTAGGGACAATTCACTACTAATACTAATACATTTTCAACATTTCAAGTTAAATAAAGGTAATTTTAGATATTTTAATGTAGATGTATTATTATTTTAATGTATTAGGAGATTACATATAGTCAAATAAAATAAATATAGATTATAGAAAAATACAAAATAAAATAAGATAGATGAAAATATAACAATAAAAAATAAAATAAAATAAAATACCATTAGGACAGGCTTACGAAACTAAACCAAAAAAGTGCAGTTTGCCAAACCATCACGACTGACAGCTCTTGTCATCCGATCCCATCTGTTTCATGTCAGCTAAATAATCACAGCCCAAAACACGTCTAAAGAGAGACGTCTAATTGAGAAATAATGGGAAATCACTCCATTATTTGTGTCATATGTGTTTGTTCTGGAGCGTGAAGTGAACGTAATCGTTCAGTCAGTGAGGATTCAGCTTCAGGGGTTTTTAACCATTCACATCAACAGTCCTGCTGTAAGACAATATATATTATGAAATAATCAGAAAACGTTTGTTTTATATGGAGTCTAGCACATCGTAAGACAGCACACTAGTGCAATCATGTCAAAAACACACAGACTTTCTAACGACGGACTGAAGACAGAGACTAAAGCAGAAGTTTGAAGGTTCGTTTGGACTAAATGAATAATCAATGGCTTCATTTAAATGTTCAGATCTCCTTCTGTAGAGCCTCAGAAAAGTCAAATTCTGTTCTGCTTTACGAGCGGAACTGCTGCACACACAAACACACAGATATACCAGGCTAAATGAGGATATAGCATCGATTTCTATTGTTTTATAATTAAATACTGTTATATAAAGCTAGTCATGACTCATGACAGACAAACCCACACTATCCCTAAAGAAAACGATTGATTTACAGAAGTAAAAGCTCATTTTGCACTCACTTCTGTAATGTGAATTTCCAAGAGAAACAGGATATTTAATGAAAGGGCTTGATTGGATGGAGTAAAGTGGGCATGTCTTAACAGAATGAAGACAGACTGAACGTGTATTTGCTAAATTAAACTAAATAAAATAAATATAAAGAGTAATACATAATATCAAAACATACAAATAAAATAAAAATAAAACCATAGTAATATCAATTATATATAAAACATTAAATTATTTTTTTTAAAGTAACAAAAATTTAAAATACAAAAAAATAACTAACAACTAACTAATTAACTAGTTATTCTGCTACTGGTTAAGACCAGTAGCCCACACGGCCTAAATGATGACAGATAAAAAGAAAAGTTATAATATTTTTATAAAATATATAAAAAGAAAATATGAAATTATTTTATCAAAACCATAGTAATATCAATTATATATAAAACATTAAATTATTTTTTTTAAAGTAACAAAAATTTAAAATACAAAAAAATAACTAACAACTAACTAATTAACTAGTTATTCTGCTACTGGTTAAGACCAGTAGCCCACACGGCCTAAATGATGACAGATAAAAAGAAAAGTTATAATATTTTGATAAAATATATAAAAAGAAAATACGAAATTATTTTATCATTTATATAATTTTTTTTAGTTAAGTAATATAAAAGCAATATTCAATATAAAAACAAACAAAAAATGTAACATAAAACATATAAAATAAACGTAAAAAGTAAAAACAAAAGAAGTTACAAAAATATAAAGTACAAAAGCTAACTAACTACTTATTTCGCTACTGGTTAACACCATAAAACATTAAAAATGAAAATATATAAAAAGAAAAGCAATAAAATAAAACATAAAATATGAAAATGTACAAAAATGTATATAAATTATACAAACATTAAAACAAGTAATATGATAAATAATATGGCAATGAAAAGACAAAAATCTAAAAATAAAAACAGAAAGTGATATACATATATCCACAGTCTAAGAAAGAACCATAGAAAGAAGCTAAACAAAGAAATTTAATAAAGTGCATAATGTTTTCATAAGTTCAACATACAATCAACATCCATTAAGGGAGTATTTGTTAGAGGAGCTAAACACACACAGAAATCTTTATTACAGATCTAACCAAATTATGTCTGCGTGTGTGCGTGTGCGTCAGTTCACTGCAGATGTGGTTAAATGATGACAATGACATACAATCGCAGCAATTTGTAAGATCATCTAAAATTCTGATCGCATTTGTGCTGCTCTGCAGATGAAACTCAATCGCACACTCAAGACTCCCTCGAGACGGACAACAAAGAGGAGAGAGAGAGAGAGAGAGAGAGAGAGAGATGACATGTCAGAGATATTTTCAGATTATTTTATATCACCATCACATCATCCTGAACACATTAGAACTAGTATTAGAATGACAGGTCAGATTCTGAACTACATGACAAACACTGAACTTCATCACAAACTCTTACCTAGAGGATAGACTCAAAACTGAGAGATTGTAAACTACAGGACAGAATCTTCAACTTAAACTACAGGACATAAACTGAATGACAGGTCAGATTCTGAACTACATGACAAACCCTGAACTACAGCACAAACTCTAACCTACAGGACACACTCAAAACTGAGGGATTGCAAACTACAGGACAGATTGTAAACTACAGGACAGAATCTTCGGCCTAAACAACAGGACATAAACTGAATGACAGGTCACATTCTGAACTGCATGACAA